TAAGAACACAACTAAGATAAAAAAAAAAAATACCCCGTCAGCCCTAGATAGTGAGTGTTGCTGAGTTATTTTACTAAGAACTCAACTAAGATTAAAAAAAAAATACCCAACTGCACATTGCTTGGTGGTTTTAGGGGATTTGGAGGCACTATTGCATTGACACAGCACATTTAATAATCAAAATTAGCCTTTATGAGAATCTAATTGATGTCTTCCTTAGGATTTTGCCCGCTGAGGTTCCTTCGTGCTTTACAGACACTCTGAGGCTCAATTTGTAAAATGAGATTAGTTTTTAGTTCCCATATACCTCCCGGGGTTGTGAGGTTGGGAGTTGTTGCCACAGCATAACCCACACATAAGCAAAAGACATTTACAGACTTAGAGTGCCAGCATGGTGAATTTTCCTCAGAGATAAGTGTTTAAAAAGACCCATAAAGAGGAACATGGACCAAAGGATAAATGAAAAAAATGACAGGAACTCAAAGAAGCAGATTAATTTTAGAGTTACTGAAATTCAAAAGAGAACTAAAAATAATAATTTCTTTCAGTGGAATAATTAACAAAGTTTTCTCTCATCCTTCTGGATGAAGTGTTGAATGGTTAATGAAAGATGAAAAGCAAATCTACTCATTCCACCAGGGGAAGGTATTCAAATAAGAAAAGTGAAAATGTCTCCAAAGACCTTTTACATCTTGGAAACTGCTCCACCTCTAAACTGGTTCAAGTATTTTGCTTTCTGTCCATATTCCCTCCCCTTTATATCCTCTGTGTTCACCAACTTCATTGATTGCTACCCTGTTTTATTCTCTGTTTTTCGTATGGACAGAAGATAACACCAGACCATTATTTTAGTAACATTCCTGTGATAGCTGATGGTGATTGTCAACTTGAGTAGATTGAGACATTTATTAGGTTAATAAAGCTCACTGCTGGGGGCGTCTGTGGGAATGTCCAGAGATTATTGGTATATGGACCGGCAAACTGAGGAGGGAGACCCACCCTGATGTAGGTAGCACCGTCCTACAGGCTTGCAGCCCAGGTGCAATGAAAGGGAGAAGTCTGCCTGCATTTGGAAAACTCCATTCTGCTAGAACAGATGCTGGTTTTTTGTTTGTTTTGTTTTGTTTTTGTTTTTGCGACGCCATTGCCTGTGAATCTCAGATCCTAGCTCTTTCAGTCTTTCAAAGCAGATTCACACCCAAAACTCTCCAGGGAGTTTCTGGGCCTTCAGTCTTGGGCTGGCACTGTATTTTTTATTCCTCTTATTCGGTGGCTTCCAGCTTCTGGAACTGAGCAGCTACTGGATCCTTACATCATGCAGATGGCCATTGTGGGCGCTCCTACACTGGATCCTAGAAGCCTATCTAATAAAACTTCTTGCATAAATATAACTATCAATACATCTATATCTATGTTTTTATCTATATTTAGCATATATATTATGGACCTTTAGAGGACCCTAACCAATACAATCCTACCAATAAACTAAACTCGCTTACCCTCTGTCTTTTCATTATTCATCTAACAAAATTCTCCAAATCCTGCTTTTGGCTTTTTCCATGCCTGCAAACACAATTGCAAAGTTGCCCAAAAGGTTCGGCATACAAAAATCAATACATGTAATACACTACATAAACAGAAGCAAGGACAAAAACCACATGATAATCTCGATAGATGAAGAAAAAACATTTGACAAAATCCAACATCCATTCATGATTTGAAAAAACCCTAAAGGCAATCCCTGGTACCAAAACAACAACAACAACACAAAAAAGCAGAAAGAAAAAAAAACCCAAACCCCTAAAGGCAATAGTTATAAAAGGTCTTTATCTCACGCTGATAAAAGCCAACTATAACAAAGCAAAAGCTAAGGAAGAGAAGCTGAGAGCCTTTGCCCTAAAATTAAGAACAAGACAATGATGCCACTATCACCATTCCTGTTCAATATAGTTAGTTCTCAAAACATTAGAGCAATTAGAGGATAGTGTAGCAGGATATGAAGTGATACTAAAAAATCAATAGAGTTCCTGTACAGCAATAACAAACACATGGAGAGGGAAATTAGGAAACTATCTTTCAAAATAGACCCAGAAAAACGAAATACTGTACTTAGGAATTAACCTAACCAAGAAAAGTGAAAGATTTCTACGATGAAATCTGTAATACTCTGAAAAAAGAGATTGAAGAGGAAATTTTAAAATGGAAAGATATCCCCTGTTCCTAGATAGATGCCCTATTTCCAAAATTGTTGTACAGATTTAATGTAATCCCAATCCTAAAATTCATGTGGAACCAAAAGAGACCTTGAATAGCAAAAGCAATTCTGGACAACAAGGACAAGGTAGGGGGCATCACAATCCCGGACTTCAAAGTTATACTGCAAAGGTACAGTGCACTAAAATCAAAATGGATCAAAGATCTAAATATTAAAACAATCTGTTGAAAGACAAAATAGGTAAAACTTTTGAAAACATGGGTGTAGGCCAAGACTTTCTGAACAGAGTACCAGTTGCACAGGACATAATACTAAGAATCAACAAATGGAATTATATCAAATTAAAAAGCTTCTGCACAACAAAGGAAATGGGAAAATGAGATATAAACTAAATGGAAAAAAATTTTATCAGCTACTCCTCAGACAAAGGACTAACAACTAGAATATATAAAGGACTCAAAAAAATTAGGCCCCCAATCAAAAAATGGGCAACCAGCTGGGGATACAGCTCAATAGCACCACACCTGCCTCACAAGCACAAGGTCCTGAGTTTGATCCCTGGTAGTAACCCAAAGGGGCAGCATCTGAAGGGAATAGACACTTCACAGTTGAAGAAGTATAAAAGACCAATGAATACATGAAAAATGTTCAACGTCACTGGCCATTTGAGAAGTGCACATTAAAACAACACTGAGATTCCATCTTACTCCAGAAAAAAATGGCTATCATCAAGAAATAAAATAACAACAAATGCTGGAGAGGATACAGGGGAGAAAAGGAGCCCTTCTTTATTGTTGGTGGCAGTGTAAACTGGCACAACCTGTATGAAATCAGAATGGAGATTCCTCAAAAAACTAAAAATAGATATTCCATTTCACCCAGATATTCCCCTTCCCAAAAGGGTTAAAAACATCATACCACAGTGATATATGCACGCTCATGTTTATAGCAGCACAATTCATAATAGCTAAATCTTGAAAGCAGCCTATATGTCCATCAGCAGATGAATGGATAAAGAAAATGTATTTTTGCACAGTGGAATACTACTCTGCCATAAAGAAGGATGAACCTGAGTCATTTGTAGGAAAATGGTGCACCTCGAGGTCATAATATTAAGTGAAATAAATCAGAGACATAGGCTTAAATATGGCATGGTTTGTCATATGTGAGAAACTACATATATAAATACAGTGCAACATAAAAGACAGTCAAGAGGGAAAAAGAGAGAAAAAGTTATTGTAATCCAGCATGGACAATGTAGTTAAACAATTTGCACATGTTTAAATACATTTGTTTTGTATTTTTTGGCCTGTTAGTCTGGTTGTTAATCTGTATGTATAATAATGAACTTTATAAGGACTTATAAGATAAACAAATGAATCTGATGCTGGCAAAAAAAAGGAAGGGGAAGGGAAAAAATAATTGAAATGTGGTATGTACATGTACCAACTCCCCACAGTGAATGTAATCATTATGTACTGCAAACATGTACCAATAAAAATAAAAGGTTTCCCTACAGGACAGATTGGCATCAATCTTAGACAATTCCTGAAATCCTATACTTTTCATGACAGTCCCCATTCTCAAGTTCCATTATGACAATTTCAAGTTCTCTACTCTTCTCAAATCTCTGATCTGTTGTCTACCTTTCTCAACACAAGATTTTGGGCAATCTCATTTTTCCACTACCAGATCCATATATCCACTTACCTGCGTACCTATTTTCTTTGTAGCATGGATGTTATTTTCCAAAATTAACTTATTGCTTTTTCTATATTTTTAATTTTCTGTTCTCTCCTCTTTTAAGCAAATAGATGTTTCTGTGCTTACTTGAAATGGGTTTAGAGGAGCATGGTTGAGTAGAATGCATCAATTGCTGATGTTTCTTTCCAAAAGTGTCCAATCCAGTAGTGGAGTGTGGTAAGCATTAAAAATAATCGTGGCATGTCCCCTTCCTCTATCCATGCCCTTTGGCAATGCTTTCCTCACACTGACTGGCATTACTGGTATGGTTTGGATATGGTTTGTCCCTGCCAAAACTCATGTCAAAATTTGGTTGCCAGCAGTGCTAAGAAGTGGTGGAGTCTCTAAGAATCAGTTGGGTTGTTAAGAGGGATTAATCTCTCTCTTCTCTCTCTCTCTCTCTCTCTCTCTCTCCCCCCCCCCTTTGTTATAAAGCGTTTGTCTCACAGGACTAAAACTAGTTACCTTGAGAATGATTTTGTATAAAGCAGGTAACCTGCTTTGCTCCTCTCTTTCTCTTTGCAAGTGTCTGCCTGTTGCCATTCTGCTTTTTTTGTAGTGCATGGAGCAGCACACAGTCCTCATGAGAAGCCAAGATATGAGGAACCTTTTCAGTCCCTAGAACCATGAGCCAAAACGAACCTTTTCTTTATAATTTTCTGGCCTCAGGTGTTCTGTTATCTTGAAAGAAAATGGATCAGGACAA